AAAAAAAAAAAAAACCTCCAAAGTAAAACAAGTTTTCAAAGCAGTAAGAAGGAATATTTAGAACATGAATATTACCATGAACCTTTTTCTCATACAAGTTCAGGATCAGGAAATGACCTTAAGTTTGTGTAGTCAGTCCATCTTTGTCCTGCTGTGTGGGGCTCTTGATACCTACATCTTTAGCCCCAAGCCCTGGACTAAGATGCTCTCACACAACTTTGCTTTGCATATCTCCATGTAAGCATCTCTCCACCACTCAACAGGTCTAAACCTGAATGAGTCACCTCCCACCCCCGCTGTATTGTTCAGCTGTAGACTTGCTCACCCTGGAGGTGGAACTCCCTTTGTCCCTCCTGTGTGAAAACATACATTGACAATGAACATCTTCAATAACTCAGGATTTTAAAGTGAGGTAAACAAACATACACCCAAGAACTTGTTCATCGAGTGTCTCAAAAATTCAAGTATTACCAGTCATATGATTCAAGGATTTATTAAGTCATACATGCAAAACATAGTGCTAATCGCATTAGCAAAAGATCAATGTAAAAACACTCCACAATTCTGCAACTGTCAATTTAAAAAATTTTGTTCTAGTGGTTGAAAGATCCAACATTGTATTCTTGCCAGTGAGTTAAGTTGTACAGAACATTGTTAGCACTAGCACAGTTTACAGAACCTCACAGACTCAAGTAACATTGTTAGGCAAAGCAATTACAGGAAGCATGTGTCCGTGTGGGTGAGGTAAATAGGGGCAATTGAGTCAAGTGACACCGTTAGTAATCTGGCAAGACAGTGATGTTAGGAAGGCTCAAAGGTTAAGAATATCTAAAATATTTTTAAAACTGTAAAGCTGCAACACATGATTTTTACACCTAGATACTAGAAAACTAAGAAAAGCACTTATTAGCTCTGAATAAAGTAACATGAAAACAGGAAAGCAGTTTTACTAATCTACAAAAAAACTAATGCATTATCAGAAAGATTTATAATACAAGGAGGCATATTGCTCATTAAGAAGGAATTCTATAGAAAAACACTAAGTTAGCAACTAAGGAAATAACCAGTTCAAAGATGAATTAAATGCCCAATTTTGGGAGGGATGGCAAGTGTAAGAGACAGGAAAATCTTAAGAAAACACTTACTGATAATACCAACTTTTATCATCTGCATTTAAAAGAAATTAACCTTTTAAAATTTGTACCCGTGACATTTTTATTCAGTTTGATTATTTTGTATATAATGTAGTGTAAATTAACCTCTACTTCTTATTTTGTCAAAATACTGTCTTCATCCTTTGATCATGTTAAGTGTTTTACACACTCCACCCCAGCACACCCACGACTAAGAGAAGAATACTTCATTATAGGAAAACATGAGTAAAGAGTTCTGTTGAAACTCAGCAAAAGCTGATCAACTTTTTAAAAATTTCACTATGAAATCAAAAAGACTGATCCAAAGAGGTGTTATACTCATTCCATTATGATATACAGTACAATGTTATGTGTTGAACGTGGGCTGATAAAATTATTTATGCATTAAATGGCAACATTTCCTTAAAGAGGCTGACTTGCTTTACATATCTGAAAACTACTTAGAAAGTGTCTGCATCTCCTAATTTCAGTCTTCTTAAAGACAAAGGTCTTTAAAAACAGTTTAGTGCTTAGTGTTCATAGCGCAACAATGTAACTTAGTTCAGAAGGTATTTTGGCAACTTATTCTGAGCAAGAACAGGGGCTTTTCAAAAAATAAGGCTTTAAGAAGGCTTGTCATTTTAGGGCTAAATTTTAATAGAATGTGAGTCTAAACTCTTACATTTAGAACAAACAAAACTTTAAAATTACTGATTGGTTCAAAATGGTTTTATGGAAAAATTAATCTGTAACAAAAACTTGGCATTGAGTGCAAAGGCTCCACCGTTTTTTGAGCAAAGCGTACAAAGGTTCCAAGGGACAGGACCAAGAACAAGGGGCTCAGACGTTTACAACAGCAGGCATTTTCTCTTCCTCTTCTTGACCGGTGGTGGGCAGAGAACTGCTCGGATAGCTTCATCAAACACTGTCTTGAGGCCTCGCTGTGTGAGAGCAGAGCACTCCAGGTATTTTACAGCACCTGTAAGAAACATGGCCACATGGCACTGTTCTCTCTGCGTGACTCTCTTCTGATCAGAACAAAGATAAGAGGCAGATCCCTCAGACCTAGCACCTTCTGTCAGCATGGTACAGCAGAACCAACTCCTAACCTTGCTTCCATTAAGACCCAGAAGGGCAGCCAGGCACGGTGGCTCATTTGAGCTCATGAGTTTGATACCAGCCTGAGCAAAAGCAAGAACGATCTCTACTAAAAATTGAAACAAAACAAAACAGGCTGGATCACCTAAGCCCAAGAGTTGGAGGTTTCTGTGAGCTTTGACACCACAGCACTCTACCCAGGGTGAGAGCTTGAGACTGTCTCAAAAAAAAAGAAAAAAGAAAGACCCAGAAGGGCCTTGCTTAGTGGGTTCCCCAAAAGTAAGACAAACACTGAATAGGAGAAACACACATTATACTTTCTCAGATTGGACTCTGCTCTCTGTCAGTAAAATAAAAGATGTACAAAACATGAAAATGGAGGATTTCCTACCAATCTCTTTAGCCATGGCTAAACCCTGGGGATAGGTGATAGGAGTCAGCTTCTTCTCCTTCAGTTTCTCAATCGTGTCCTTATCATCCCTAAGATCAAGTTTAGTTCCCACAAGGATGATGGGAGTGTTGGGACAATGGTGTCGCACTTCAGGATACCACTAGATATGAAAAAAAGAACAAAGGTTATAACACTCTCCCTTATAAACTTCCTTCACCTAAATTACATGCAGTAAGTATCTCAGTGTGTCAGCCACCCAACTGCAGTCAGTCCTGTCCCTACTGAGCCTTCATGCAGTTACACCTTTAATTCAAACCTTGAAGAACCATTAAGGAATATCTGGGGTATCTTGATTAGCCAATCAGGACCTCCCAGATTATGGATCTTACAGAATGGGCTCTACTAGTCAAGCAATAACAGGAAGGATGGGCCCCCCAAAGCAAACTGCTTTATTTTGGGCAAAACAAGTTAGGGTCATTTCGGAAAATTCATCATCTATTCAAGGATAAGAATAAACAACTACCCAGACCAAAGTGTCAGCTCTGCCACCATAATCCCCACTGAAAACATCCCTCATCACCACAACCAAAGAGGGTCTCTCTCTCTCTCTAGTTATTTTCACTAAGAAATCTGTGATACATGCTGAAGAAATGGTCATTGTTTTTTATCATAAGAAATCTGTGAAAGATGCTAGAAGTAATGGTCATTTTTATCAGACTGACTCCGAAGTGCTTCATTATACTGAGGAACAATGAAACTTCTGAATCAGAACCTGAAGCTTCGAAAATCTACATATTTAAGCCATATACTTAAAAACTGATTATGTACCTAAGTAAAATTATTAAAACCAATTTAAATAATTGAAATTTCTAACAGCAACTGGTATTTTTAAATATTTCCTTTTTTTTTTTTTTTTTT